CCGAGGAACCATCAAACAAACGCACAACAACCACAAAGGGCAATCTCAGACCGTCCTCTTGGCAATGTCATGCCGCGCTTCCAGTAGACATCGTGGTTCACGTTGCTGGGGCGAGGTTCAGTAGCCATGCCGCCTGATGCGGATTTGAGATGCCTTCGGCTGGACCGCGTGCAGCAGTCGCGAGATTTGAGAGCGCGGCAGGTTCGTGCGCGCCCCGAACCCTGGCCGACGAACAGTCAACAACACAACACATCCACCTGGCAATGTCAGACCGTCCTCTCGGCAATGCCATGCCGTGTTTGAAGTAGACATCTTGGCTCATATTGCTGTGGCGAGGTTCAGTTGCCATGTTGCCACGCCGCCTGATGCTGATTGAAAGGGCCGACTGGGCCGCGCGCAAAAGCTTTAGAAGTCTGGCAACGTAACAGGTTCAAGCGCGCCCCGGACCCTTGCCGACGAACCATCAAACAAACGCACAACAACCACACAGGGCAATATCAGACCGTCCTCTTGGCAATGTCATGCCGCGCTTCCAGTAGACATCGTGGTTCACGTTGCCGGGGCGAGGTTTAGTAGCCATGCCGCCTGATGCGGATTTGAGATGCCTTCGGCTGGACCGCGTGCAGCAGTTACGAAATTTGAGAGCACGGCAGGTTTGTGCGCGCCCCGAACCCTGGCCGACGAACAGTCAACAACACAAGACATCCACCTGGCAATGTCAGACCGTCCTCTCGGCAATGTCATGCCGTGTTTTAAGTAGACATCTTGGCTCATATTGCTGTGGCGAGGTTCAGCTGCCATGTTGCCATGCCGCCTGATGCTGATTGAAAGAGCCGACTGGGCCGCGCGCAAAAGCTTTGGAAGTCTGGCAACGTAACAGGTTCAAGCGCGCCCCGGACCCTTGCCGACGGACCATCAAACAAACGCACAACAACCACACAGGGCAATATCAGACCGTCCTCTTGGCAATGTCATGCCGCGCTTCCAGTAGACATCGTGGTTCACGTTGCCGGGGCGAGGTTCAGTAGCCATGCCGCCTGATGCGGATTTGAGATGCCTTCGGCTGGACCGCGTGCAGCAGTTGCGAAATTTGAGAGCGCGGCAGGTTCGTGCGCGCCCCGAACCCTGGCCGACGAACAGGCAAAAACACAATTAGCCTGGCGAAGGACCCAACCATACGCAGTTGTGAATACCGCAAGTGTGAATGCCATCTTCGCCCGCGCTTCCTATGCGGCCACAGCTTCCCGCCGGAACCCGACATGCACAGGAACACGTTCGTGGCCGTCTTCGCGGGCGCCGACGACGACACGGACGGCGTCCCTCTGACCGAGGAGCAACAGCAGAAGAGGGCTTCGAGAGCCATGAGGGAGGAGGTGGCGCTGCATGTCGACACGGCGGAGTGCGACGCCCAGGCGCAGTTGTTGAAGCAACGCATCTATGGGGCCACGATCCTTGTGAGGGGCGTGCCGCAATGGCCCGGGGCCGCCATGCGAACCTTGCCACTGGCGCCTTCGCTGGAGCTCCCTATGGGGCCACGATCCTCGTGAGGGGTGTGCCGAAATGGCCCGAGGCCGCCATGCGAACACTGCCACTGGCGCCTTCGGTGGAGCTCCCTATGGGGCCACGATCCTCGTGAGGGGTGCGCCAAAATGGGGCGGGGCCACCACGCGAACGCTGCCGCTGGGGCCTTCGGTGGATCTCTCTATGGGGCCACGATCCTCGTGGTGGGGTGCGCCCAAATGGGGCGGGGCCACCATGCGAACGCTGCCACTGGGGCCTTCGGTGGAGCTCCCTATGGGGCCACGATCCTCGTGAGGGGTGCGCCAAAATGGGCGGGGCCGCCATGCGAACGCTGCCACTGGAGCCTTCGGTGGAGCTCCCTATGGGGCCACGATCCTCGTGAGGGGTGCGCCAAATGGGGCGGGCCGCCATGCGAACGCTGCCACTGGCGCCTTCGGTGGAGCTCCCTATGGGGCCACGGTCCTCGTGAGGGGTGTGCCCAAATGTGGCGGGGCCACCGTGCGAACGCTGCCACTGGCGCCTTCGGTGGAGCTCCCTATGGGGCCACGATCCTCGTGAGGGGTGCGCCGGCATGGGGCGGGGCCACCATGCGAACGCTGCCACTGGCGCCTTCGGTGGAGCTCCCTATGGAGCCACGATCCTCGTGATGCGGTGCGCCACAATGGGGCGGGGCCGCCATGCGAACGCTGCCACTGGGGCCTTCGGTGGAGCTCCCTATGGGGCCACGATCCTCGTGAGGGGTGCGCCCAAATGGGGCGGGGCCGCCATGCGAACGCTGCCACTGGAGCGTTCGGTGGAGCTCCCTATGGGGCCACGGTCCTCGTGAGGGGTGTGCCCAAATGTGGCGGGGCCACCGTGCGAACGCTGCCACTGGCGCCTTCGGTGGAGCTCCCTATGGGGCCACGATCCCCGTGAGGGGTGTGCCACAATGGGGCGGGGCCGCCATGCGAACGCTGCCACTGGGGCCTTCGGTGGAGCTCCCTATGGGGCCACGATCCTCGTGAGGGGTGTGCCGAAATGGGGCGGGGCCGCCATGCGAACGCTGCCACTGGCGCCTTCGGTGGAGCTCCCTATGGGGCCACGAAACGCTGTACTGGGTGGGTGAAACGCAGGGAAGAGGGGGGAGGAGGGGGAGGAGGAGAGGAGAGGAGGAGGAGGAGAAACGCGGGGCGACGTCTCTTCAAAACGAGGACCCAACACCGCAGGATGGTTGGGAACAAATCCACCTGGCAATATCAGACAGCCTCTCGGCAATGTCATGCCGTGTTTTAAGTAGACATCTTGGCTCATATTGCTGTGGCGAGGTTCAGTTGCCATGTTGCCATGCCGCCTGATGCTGATTGAAGGAACCGGCTGGGCCGCGTGCGAAAGTTTAGAAGTTTGGCAACGTAGCAGGTTCGAGCGCGCCCCGAACCCTGGCCGACGAACAGTCCAACACACATAACAAATCCACGGAGCAATATCTTTGGCAACGTCAGACCGTGCTTTCAGTGGGCATCTTGGTTCAAGGTGTCAAGGCGAGATTCAGTAGCCTTGCGACCTGGTGCCTGTGCGAGAAGCCTCCGGCTGAATCATGCGCAACATCTGCGAAGTTTGGCAGCGCAGCAGGTTCGAGCGCGCCCCGAACACTGGCCGACGAGTAGTCAACACACACACATAAAAAGTACTCTTGGCAATGTCAGGCCGTGCTTTAAGTGGACATCTTGGTTCAAGTTGCTGAGGTAAGGTTGAGTGGCCATGCCCCCTGATGTTGATGCGAGAAGTCTCCAGACCACGTGCAACAGTTGCGAAGTTCAGCAACGAAGCAGGTCCGAGCGCGCCCCGAGCCCTCGCCGACGCACAGCCAAAAACACAAAACGAATCCAATTCTCAATCTTGGCAATGTCAGATCGTGCTTTCAGTAGACATCTTGGTTCAAGTTGCTGAAGCGAGATTCAGTGGCCAAGCCGCCTGGCGCTGATTTGCCAAGCCCCCGGATGGACCACATTCAAAGTTACAAAATTGAGTGGCGCGGCAGGTTCGAGCCGCCCCGACCTTGGCCGACGAACATGTAAAAACGTTCAAAAATCCATTGGGCAATCTCAGACAGTTTTTTTTTGGCAAATGTCATGCCGTGCTTTCAGTAGACATCTTGGTTCACATTGCTGAGGTGAGGTTCAGTAGCCATGCCGCCTGATGTTGATCGGAGAAGCCTCCAGCTGGACCGCGTGCAAAGTTGCGAAGTTCGGTAACCCAGCAGGTTCGAGCGCGCCCCGCGCCCTGGCCGACGAACAATCAAAACACACACGCAACAGATCCATTGCACGCCAGCCCATGGCCCACGACGGGCATGGCCAGGCCTGGTAATTGCAGCCAGCCGACGGTTTCCGATGGGCGGCCTTCAGCAAGCGAGTTTTCTTTGCGAACGCACGATGGTATTATTAGATGGTGCTACCATGCTAACGGTCCGATGGTAGAGTGAGTCAGACGCGTCAGCAGCTCTTGTGCAGCATTATTGCACTGGTGCCTTCGCATAGGTGATTTTGCAAGCGTGCGTGCCGCGGAAGTTTAGAGCCTGTTCGTTGTATTGTCCGCTTGGCACGCAGTTTTTACATCGACCGCCTTTCTCCTGCACCCCTCCTTCTGTCTGTGCGCTGGCACGCGGACAAAGGCAAGCGAGAGCTGAGGCATTTGATGGTGCAAGTCGCCGTGTCTGACCGCGGCGAACTACGCTGCACCCGCACATGACTCCTCTCAGCCCTGTCAGAGCTGGATAAGTACGACTAAGAATGAAATATAGAGACAGATATTGAAAGAGAGAGAGAGAGAGAGAGAAAAAAGAGAGAGAGAGAGAGAACAAACTAACACTAAAGAAACAACGACAGAGAAAGAGGGAACAACAAAACTACGTCCTGATTGAGGCAGGTAGGATCCGATATGCGAACGAAGGAGCCAGTGATAGTGTGCTTTCCGTGTTTGGGAAACGGGGGAGGGGAATTTGGGTAAGGGTGCGTGAGGGAAGTGGGGAGAGGAGACGGGTGAGGGGGAGAGATGGGGAAGTGTGTGGGGGGTGAGGGGCTCGCCTTGATCTTGTTTGGCGGTCTCTATTGATTCCGACGGCTCGCGTTTTTTTTCCAACGGATGGTGTTGAAATCTCAAGAATGGCGTTCTGGCACGAACCAGGATCGTCAAGACGCAACAATCAGGTTGATACGTGGCGTTGGAATCCCGAGAACAATGTTTTGGCATGCTTCCGGGTCTTCAAACGGTTGTCTTCCAACGAAGCAGATCCCTCAATGGAAATGAACCGTTGTAGGGGCCTATGAAGAGAGAGCTTGGAGTGAGGGTGTTTACCAACATCGTCGATGGCTCTTGGGTTTACACTGGTCCTCCTCCTCCTCCTCCTCCTCCTCCTCCTCCTCCTCCTCCTCCTCCTCCTCCTCCTCCTCTGGGGTCGGCTCGCCTCTGCCGTTTTATTTGCTCTTGCCCGCGGTCCAGAGGAGCGGGCGCCGCCGCTGGTGGAGGCGTTCCGGGAGCGCCGCGCGCTGGACGAGGCCCTCCCGCGCGGCGCGTGCCCCCCTCGGCCACGCGCAGAAGGGGTGGAAGGGGAGGAGGAGGAGGAGGAGGAGGAGGAGGGGGAGGAGGAGGAGGAGGAGGAGGAGGAGGAGGAGGAGGACGACGACGAGAGGAGGAGGAGGAGGAGGAGGAGGAGGAGGAGGAGGAGAGGAGGAGGAGGAGGAAGAGGAGGAGGAGGAGAAGCAGGTGGAGGAGGAGGAGGAGGAGGAGGAGGAGGAGGAGGAAGAGGAGGGGGGGCATGGGGGGGAGGGGGGAAGGCTCTTTAGAAGCACCCCTGCTTCTCAGAGGACGTGGCCTTATCAAATACAGATGGGGCGTTCCAAAAGGGGCCGTTCCTTCGAGGATAAAAGTAGCTGTCACCTCTTCCGCCGCGGAAGGCGGCGGAAAGTCGGCGGAAGTGAAACGAGGCCGCCTCCGCCGGCGGAGGGTCGGCGGAAGGCGGCGGAAGTAAAATATGTGTCCCGGCGGAAGGCGGCGAAACGTTTCTGGGTTCAGGGTTTCCGAAATCGCCCAGATGTAGGGCTGGCGCCTTTCAAGAAGCAGCCTCCTTCTAAGGATCCGGGCATCGTAAGACTCGAGTCTGCTGGAGCTCGGGTGAGCCGGCGCTCTTTGACGGGCCCGTCCTGGATTTTGACGGTCCAGTTTCCATGGGATGTCCCGCGTCAAATTTCAGACTGGGTTTCGTCATTTTCTTGACGGCCCAGTCCGGCCAACCCGAGTCCCCCGAACCCGAGTCTTACTCAGTAGGGGGAAACACACAGACTCAATTAATCGTCGATCCCCGGGACAAGTATGGGAAAATATGGAGAGTGTGGGTGGGGGGGAAGACGAAAACCCTGAAAATATATCAAAATAGAAAAAATCCTTGGATCTGTATCTATTTATTCGTGTGTCCTTCGGCCCCTTCAAAACCGGGTCCCCCGAACCCGAGTCGTACGTCTCCCCGGAAGAAGCCCTCCCCTCTCGCCCCACCCCCGTGTGCGCACGGCGGAGGAGGAGGAGGAGGAGGAGGAGGAGGAGGAGCAGGAGCAGGAGGAGGAGGAGGAAGCCTTCCCCCTCCCCCCACCACCGTTGTGCGCGCGGAGGGGGAGGAGGAGGAGGAGGAGGAGGAGGAGGAGGAGGAAGGAGGAGGAGGAGGAGGAGGAGGAGGAGAAGGAGGAGGAGGAAGCCTTCCCCTCTCCCCCACCCCCCTTCGTGCTCGCCGCCGGCCTCCAGAGCGTGAAGCTCCCAGCTCGCGGCCGGCGCCTGCGCGCGCCGGCGTGTCGTCGCGGCCGTCGTCTGCCGGGCGTCTTCGTGTCCAGAGGGTGGCCGAGCGCTCGCGCGGACCCTCGAGATCCTGGCGTTGCAGTTTTCCCCAAGCATCCTGTGGTGTTGGGTCCTCGTTTGGAAGAGACAGCGCCCCGCGTTCCTCCTTCCTT